TGTCGTCTGAAGTTTTTCCTACTCTGAGACTTCAAACCTACAGTTGTCACTAAAATAAGACCAAATATGATTTATGTGGGAGGCTTTTTGAAGGCTACTGAGGGATAGGCTGAGGTTACTGAATACTTTTTGTTTCTTTCACCTCTCATCTTAATGGCCTTTAAAATGCACCTGGATCCACATAAATACGGATGGACGAATGGGGCAGGGATTAGGGATGGTCCGATCAGCTTTTTTTGCTGCCAATCACGTTGCCAATCACATGGATAAGACATGAATCTTCTAAGTTATAATTAGTACTATGTACAGACCACATGATCAGGGGAGAAGGAACAATAACATCACCTTAAATGGCCTGTATTAATTTTAGGGCTGCACGATATTAGGAAAACCTGCGATATGCGATAACAGTGATTAATATTGCGAAGGTTGATATTACTCGCGATAAATAAAAACTTAACTCAAGAACAAAAATAATTCAAAACAAAGAAATAAAAAAATGACAATAAAATCATTAAAATGAGAAAAACAAAAGATGTGAGGAAAGTGAAAAAGAAAATAAACAAGAAAAGGCAATCAGTGGATCCAGGGAAAAGCAGAATCCGCAGAAAGAGCAGAACAAAGCTAACTCAGGTGTTTGCTAACCATCAAAATTAAGTACATCGAACTTATATATCGCTTTTTAGGACATTCAAAGACGCTTTCATGCACGCTCACATTCACACACTGCCAGTGATAGTAAGCTACTATGTAGCCACAGCCGCCCTGGGGCGGTCTGACAAAGGCGAAGCTGCAATTTGGCGCCATCTGCCCCTCTGACCACCACCAACAGGCAAGTTGGGTGAAGTGTCTTGCCCAAGGACACAACAGCAGAATACCCCTGGCGGGAGTTGGTATCGAGCCCATGACCTTCGATCATGAGGCAACCCGCTCTACCTCCTGAGCTACTGCTACCCCAATTAAGTGCCGTCCACCTCAGAGGCGGCATCTAACCTATGAGAACCCACCCAATTGGCCAAATTGGTGAAGAGCTCTATTAGATTTGTTAAAAAACATCATGCTTCCATTTTATTGACAAAATGCATTATGTGTAGCAAACATTTGAGCTAACCATCCATTGCGATATTTCTCTGTTCTTTGCGATATGCATTATGCGTAGGGATGAGTACCGAATTCGGTACTTTTTAAGGTACCGACCGAATTCCATAGTACCGACCGAACACCGATTCACGTCATTTCAAACGATGCCTCGTTTCGGTACTGCCAAGACAGTTGCGCATGCGCAAGAGCGTTATGTCGCCGGTCCCTGCGAGCCCGTTGTAAACAGAGCAAGCATGGTAGAAAGAACGCACGCTAAAACTTGGGTCCACTTCACTAAATGTGATGGGTAACTGGGTGATGAAACAAGCGACAGACAACGATCTAAGTGAGACATCCTCATCTTAATCTGCTCCAGTAGGTAAATAAAATGTTTAAGATAACGTTACCTTGATTTGTTAGCTTCCGTTTCGCTAATGGTGCGTTCGCTTTCTCCTCGGAACTCCGAATTTCCGACTAGAAGAACATGAACGCGCTCTAAAGTTTGGCTTTACTTTACTAAATGCGACGGGTGATTGGGTGAAGGTAAAACCAGTGACAACGATCTAAGTTTGAGGCATCATCGTTTTAATCTGCTCCAGCAGCTAAATAAACTGTTAAAGATAACGTTAGCTTGATATGTTAGCTTCCATTGCCACCGTTGTTATCAGCTAATGGTGCGTTCGCGTTCTCCTCGGAAATTCTAACTTCCCAGTAGGAAAAATCAAATGAAAAAGGACGGCAAAAGGAATGAAGATACAGTAAATTTAGTTCACAGTAAAGATGTTTGCTTCATTTTAATTATCAGCTTATAAAACTACAAGGACGATGTTAAAATACAAACTTGTATGATATTTATCGTGATATTTATCAAATATGGTTATATATTGAGAAAAATATATATTTAATTATAAAAGAGAATTAAAATAATACTCAAAAGTATCGAAAATTGGTACCGTTAAGTACCGGTATCGACTCGTAGGTACCGGGAATTAGTACCGGATCGATTCAAATGTCAAAGGTACCCATCCCTAATTATGCGCATGCTGATATCGCGATAATGATATATTTGCAAAATATTGTGCAGCCCTAATTAATTTAGACAAAATATGGTTTTACTTTTTCGAGAGAAAAAGAAAGACTTGCAGCACAATCAGTGTGTTTGTTTCTGACCACAACTTCTAAGCCTGTCATATGTTAGTTTTATTTTGAAGGGGAGTTCAGTGGGCGGAAAAGGTTCCGGTCAGCGGCTGTTGTAAAACCGCTCCGTTACAAACTGTAATGTGGATAAACAGAGGAGCTGTAAAGCTGTATGGCTGACAGTAGCCTGAATAAAAGACCCTTAAACGAGTAACCTGAGACAGAGGCGTGTTAGTTGCTTAGTTTTCTGACGGTCACGGTGATACAGACGAGTGTGGGCGAGTGTAGCCGTGTCTGACTGTTGCCACCCCAAGTCTTTGTTTCTGCAGTGAGCGTTGACACCTCACCTCACTCCTCCCTGAGTTTTTTCTTTCAAAGTCCTAATAAATCCACTGTGTTGATGCATTTTAACGAGCTTCCCTGTAGGTTATCATCACTCTCACTCAGTAAAAGTTTGTTTTGCACGTTTGCCGCTGCGCACATACACAGTGCGAAGTAAGCAGGAGAGAGACGTCATGCCACACACAGGGTCTCTGCCAGCTGCAAAGTATGAACAACAGGTGATCAGCTGCTACGATCGGCTGTGAAAGGTGTGGATTGGAATCTGCAGATTTTAATCGATGGCTGATAAATCAGATTCAGAACACCCCTATCAGGGATAACTGATTAGAACAACATGGTTTATGCCCTTAATCTTAATCTGAAATGTCTCCCCAGCCTTCATCAGTGTGTTCAGGAGTGAGTCATCACTAAATTAAACAAATCAGCTGTGTTCTGAAAGACAGGTGTGTGTCTGGGGGTGGGGTGGTGAAGTTAAATAAAACTGCCATAACACAAGTGAGCTTCTACAGCTGATGAACCTGTGGAGTCAACCCTACTCAGGATGAATTCTGCAGCTGATCAAACTCTGTCATTAGTCAGCCGTTTTTACAGCTTAATGAGCGGATGTGACACACAGTCATTCATTGTTGAGTCACAATCCCACGTGAGCTCAGCCATTGTGACCCAGCTGATCTGAGTTTAAAATCCTAACCCAGTCAGATACACACAACAGCAGCAGATTCTGTTGTCTTGTTGTCGTTGCTGAGGTACACCTTCCTGGAGCAATATATGTTTAATACAAACAACCTTTCATTCGTTCATTTGTTCATTCATTCATTTCTTTACATAAGGGGGAGCTGGTGCCTGTTCCGAGCAGTCATCAGGTGAGCGGGAGTGGACACACCCTGGACATGTCTCCAGTCCACCACAGAGAACACAACTAGAGTCACATATGTCAGGCGTCAGTCTGACTTATTTTGACAAGCATTGACCAGATGGGAGATTTTACCAGCTATCATCCACCCTGCCTTTTTTCAATAATAAGATAGGAAAGAAACATGACTATTATAATATGTATTCTGTATCAGGTGACTTTAAACACGACTACTGTACGCTTATCATGATGACAAAACCACTCATTAATCTGAGAAATCCATATTTTTATATTTTTATTCATATTTTATTATTTGTTTGTCCAATTTACAGCAAATACAAATATTTTGTGTCAGATTTTATATCTCAAAGAAGTATAAAAAGTATGTTATATGTATATAATGTTTCAGATTCAGATTTCAGATTTATTGGCCAAGTAAAAGTACATTTACAAGGAATTTGTCTTTTCACCAAGATCTTGCATTGATGATGGAACAGATTGGGATCGGGCTTCCTAATGATTTAGCCTTTTCCTCAGTTACCCTGCATGAGTCACAGGAACTGTTTAGTACACATAATTTAGATTGTTTATGACAAAAATTTAATTTGTTTCCAATAACATCATATTATACATATCCCCATGGGACCAGCCATTTAAAAAGTTCTCATACATACAACTTCAGTGGGATTCCAGTGGAACATTTCTATGGGACTTCTGTATTAATTCTTCTGACCAGGTTTGTTTAGCTGCTCTGTTGATAATAGGACACACACACACACACACACACACACACACACACACACACACACACACACACACACACACACACACACACACACACACACACACACACACACACACACACACACACACACACACACACCCTGCTGTAGGTGAAGTAATTATCTCTGGGACACGCTGCACATATATTAGTGACCTCCAGTGTAGATGCTATCAAAGCTGAACAACAAAGTACTTCTTATAATTTGGGCAAATTACTCATCATTATTTAGTAAAACTGACATCATTTTGTTTATGTTCTGCAGGAAAAACTAATTACTTTGTTTACTCACCTGCTGTTTGTGTGAGTTGTGTCACACTATGCTAAGAAGCACTAAGAAGATGAGCTGCTATTGGAACGGGTCAGTCAAGGTGGTTCTGGCCTCTGGTTAAGATGCCTCCTGCTCACCTCCCTTTGGAGGGTTTTTGGGAGGCACTGGAGGAGCTGGAGCTCCTGTCCTTGATCTGTTACCTCCATTTCTCAGATGTGGGTTACAGGATTTGTAAACATTTAATAAAGCCTTTAATGATTAACAATAAATAAATGAAAATGTTTGTGGCTTTGAAACAAAGTGAGTCTGGAAACACGTAATCTCAAGCTGCTGATGACCTTCACAAACACTGGATGGTGGACCACCAAGCTATCCAGACTTTACTTAGTTTTTAACGTGCTGTTAAACAGTTGGATATGCAGCATAACCACCGAGTAATGCTCATCAGTGGAAGTAAGACTTATTAATGTGTTTGGTTATTTGTTTCTCAACAAAGAAAATGTTGATTTGTTGTTTCTGTCATTTTGTTATTTCAGGTGTTGTGTAGTTATAGAAGACTGAGTGTACCATGGCGCAGTTCTCCACCACATTCACAGGTCAGTGTGTGTGTGTGTGTGTGTGTGTGTGTTTACTTGTGTTTATATGTTTAAGTGGACAAATTTTGACTTTACCCTATAGTGTGGAGACATTTCCACATTGTGGGGACACGTTTAACGTGGTTTTAGAGGTATGGTGTGAATTAATGTTAAGGTTAGTTTAGGTTAGGGTTAGAAATAGAACCCCATTAGTTAAGGTTAGAGAATGGTTATGGGTTTGGCATAGAGGAGTCACTAATATGAATGGAAGTCACTGGAGGTCCACAAAAGCATATAAATGCAAGTGTGTGTTTGTGTGTGTCTGCTCTGTCTTCTTGATCCCCAGTGCGTTGTGGTGGATGGCTGCTTATACTGAGCTAGGATCCTCTGGTGGTTTCTTCCTGTTAAAAGGGAGTTTTCTAGCCTAGTGAACGAGACCAAATTCTTGCTTTGCAAAGTTTGGTCTAGGAACGCTCCTTTGGAACATCTGCAGCCCCTAGCAGCATTCTGGCTGGCCAATCACAGCTCTCTAGAGGGGTTTCAAACACATAGAGAGCTGTGATTGGTCTATGATGGTGGGCCAATAATAGCGCTCCCAGCACTTTATCCGCTTGTGGGCCAATCAGGGCCCTCTATTCGTCTGGGGGGGGGGGGGGGGGGAGGATGATGCAACAGAGTGAAACAAGATGGCGACAACTCATTTGCAACGTCTTTTACATCAATTTTTAACTATTTGGACTTTGGCTTTATTAGAATGAGTAGCAGCTAGATGTATTTCAGTTCTTTTATTTAGAAAGAAGGATGTATTTTTGCCTTCTTCACCAGCGGACCGCCTCGTCTACGGACATTCGTTGCAGTGAGTGCGTCACGTTGTTCATTGTCCAGTAGCATGTGTAGATCGTTTGAAAGACAACAGTAGAATCTGCCCCACGACCGAGAGCCGTCAATGGCGCGTTGCCAAACTAAATAATATATTTATCTTTTCTGGCTTGCCAGGCTCGGAGTTTTCCTCTCCACTGTCGCTGCATGCTTGCTTAGTATGAGGATTGCTGTAAAGACTCTGAAACTAGTCAGTGACTCGATGCTATCTGCTGGGTTCCTTATATAGGAAACTTTTTACTGATTGGCTTAATGAACTGACCTGTATTGGAATGTTAACTGTGTGAAGTGCCTTGAGACGACTTGTCGTGATTTGGCGCTATTAAAATAAATTTTAATTGATTACAAACTGAATCAAAAATTTATTATTTTGAACATGTTTTTTGTTTTTCACATTGTAAGTTCAATGTTTGACATTTAGTTTCAACTTTTATTTTTACAGTTTCAACCTTTTTTCCCTATAGAGAGCCTAAGTCACGCCCATCTACTTCCACACTATGGGTCCCTGGAGAAACGAAAAACTGAATGCATGTCAAAGGGGCTAAAAACGCTATTTTCTAATTCTGCTTGTTTTGTTCCATGGATTTCACATATAATGTCCGTGATTTTTAAAGAAGCTTTCTGATACCAAGTACTCACTTGTTTTCGAACGGGGGGAAAGGTTATTTTAGGTTTTGTGTGAAAATAAGTCCAGGACTAGAGATGCGCTTCACAAAAGTGACGTCATCGAAGCAGACACCGAGAAAAATAGAGGAAAAATGGCTGTAAGTTCAGCAAACTTTAAATCCTTTCTTCAGAGGGACTGAACCACCATAAATCTGGCCATTTGGTAAGTAGCAGCTAAGCTAGGGGATAGGAGAATCTTGTCATATATGCGACGTGCCGATGTCTGATGTGTAGTCATGCTAATTACAAACTTTTACAAGCTGATGAATCTCAAAGTATGGGACAGGTGTGGTCGAAACACGCATCAATACTTTTAATTTAAAATGCAGCACAACATATGTGTGATCCAGGGCGTAAGCCGGCAAAGCGGATTAGAAAATAGCTCTTTTAGCCTTGTTGATTTGCATTCATTTTTTCGTTCTTCCGGGAACCAATGAGACGACCTGAAAGGGAGGAGACTTAGGCTCCCTATTATCCAAATATCCCAGCCCTGTCTCGGCTTCACAAAAGAGTCGGACTCGGCACAAATAAAAACAATATTTCAGAGTTAAATAAACATTCCTGTTGTCAGTAGTGCAGAATGGACCTGTTCGCTGGCCTTTAAGAAGAGCTTTGCTCTGAGCGGCTCTGTGCTAGATGGAAGCTAAGTCAGCATCTTGAATTCAGTCTTGAATCTGCACCCAAGGACCTGTCTGTTAGTGCTTGTTTTTGTCTTCTTAAACTTTTGCTTTGCACTATCTTCCATTGGGAAAGAGAAGGAAACTCATCTGTGGGTAATCCTGTTGTCTAGTAGCTCCGGTTTGGGCCATCTGAAAACCATAAGTGCAATCAGGGGCTGCGAACGAGCTGTTTCTCCCCTCCCTGAAAACACTCATCAGGTAATCTAGGTCTCAACCATTGTAATCAGCTGCTGCATGAACACCTGTTTGCAACTAGTAGCACAGCATAACGCCGCGTTATGCTGTGCTACTAGTTGCATTGTGCTCCGTGTTAACGCCGCAAAGCATCATGGGAGTTGAAGTCTTTGCGGTAAAATCGGCCAGCGGGCCAGTTTTAATATATTTTTGATATTTATCTCGCGGGCCACATAAAAATGCTCTTGAGTCTGACATATGTGTTTTAAGGGTTCAGATGAAAACACCCGACCTCTCAGGCTGCTCACACATCGATCTTAAGTTTTCGCCGTTGCGCTCACGCCGTAATGCAGTATTAGATGTGGTTGAAGTCAGACATGAAAAAATAAATAAATTTTACATGAATAAGTGATGCTTAGCCTGGTGGGGGGAGGAAAATCTGGCCTAATAAGCACTGGAGGAAACCCTGTCAAGATCGTCAACACTCATTTATCTTAATGCTGCTGAAACATGTAAACCAAAAGGCATTATATCCACTGCTACCTTTCTAATTTTAAACTCAGTAACTTATGCTGTAACTTCACCGTGCCCTGCCTGCTCCTCTTTGTTGCCCGCCGGCTGTGATCACAAGCGACAACATAGTAGTTCCTGCTGCTTCTTTGGGAAACGGCGCAAAAAAAAGAAAGAAAAACAAAACAAAAAAAACTTGGGATCTTGTAGGCGTGGCAGTGGAATTTCAGCCGTGGCGGGCCGCCACGGCTACGGCTATGTAAGGGAAACCCTACCACCTGTCACTCGATGCACTGGCTCTCACTGAGACCTGGATCAAACCATGTGACAATGCTACCCCATCTGCTCTCTTGATTAACCACACTTTCACCCACACTTCTCGTGCATTTGGCCGAGGTGGTGGAACGGGCATGTTAATTTCCAACAAATGGAGATATACAGTCAGTTGCTACCCATCACTAAATACAACTCCTTTGAATACCATGCCATCCAGGTAACTGTACTGAAAAAATTCTGTTTGGTTGTCATATATCACTAACCAGGTCAACTCGTAGGCTTTCTTGATGAACTCGACACCCTGCTTTCCTCCATTCCTGAGCACGACTGTCCCACAATGGTTCTTGGAGACATGAATATTCACCTGGACAGCTCATCAGGCTTCCTGTCACTAATGTCATCATTTGATCTAAAACTAGTACAAAGTTCTCCAACTCACAAAGCTGGAAAAGCACTTGACCTCATTTTCACCAGAAACTGAGCCATAGACACAATCTTTGTCACAACGCTGACACTTTCCGATCATTACTTCATCCATTTCAGCACGACTCTACAAGGGCGTTCACTGCTTCCTCCCCAATGGTCTCATTCCACCGAAACCTCCGCAATCTGGCACCCAACCACTTCTCCTCTCTTGTTGCCTCCACTCTTCCATCTCCCAGCACATTCTCTGCTTATGAAGTGAATGATGCCACCGAGTCACTCTGCTCTTGTCTTAACAACTTGTGCCCTTTAGCCACTAGACCAGGTAGATCCTCTCAGTCGCACCCTTGGCTAAATGATACCCTCCGGTCTCTACGCACCAATCTTAAAGCTGCAGAACGGAAATGGCGCAAAACAAAAGATCCTGGTGATCTATTGAAATTTCATGATTTACTGTCCTCATTCTCTGCCAGCATCACTGATGCAAAGAAAGCTTTCTACACTGACAAAATTCTCAGTTCTACTCACTCTCAGAAACGATTTTCAACATTCAAAACTCTGCTCAACCCTCCGTCTCCACCTCCTACCAACAATCTATCAGCTGACACTTTTTCCTCATTCTTCACTGACAAAGTGGCAGCTATAAGCAAACAGTTTACTCAACTGGCCATTCCTGAACATTCGCTACCACAAACTCCTTCTTGCCCAACCATCTCAAGACGTACTGCTTCATTTTCCTCTTTTTTCCCTTTCACTGAGAACTGTGTGTCCAAGCTTCTCACGTGCAGCCGCCCTACTACATGTCCACTCAACCCCATTCCAACTAAGCGGCTATTGCTCCTACAGTAGCCGCAGCAGTCACACGTGTGATCAACGCTTCACTGACATCCGGTCCCACCTCTCTCAAGCATGCTCAGGTTAAACCGCTGCTAAAAAAAAACATCTCTTCCTCCAAATCATGTGTAGAACTACCAACCTATCTCCTCCCTTTTCTGTCCAAAATCATTTAAAAGGATGGCTTTCAAGCAGATCACAGAATACCTCTCACAAAACCGTCTGCTTGACCCTTACCAATCTGGGTTCAAAATGGGCCACTCCACTGAAACTGCTCTGTTAGCAGTGACTGAATCCTTAAAAGAAGCTAGAGCGACTGCCAAATCCTCAGTGCTTATCCTGCTCGACTTATCGGCTGCATTTGACACTGTCAACCATGGCTTCCTTTTCTCCACACTCTCTAGCATGGGCATCACAGAGAAAGCACACACCTGGTTTGAATTGTACCTCACAGGATGATCATTCAGTGTATCTTGGCTTGGACAATCCTCTACCGTGCATCGTCTTGCCACAGGAGTCCCCCAGGGCTCTGTACTAGGACCTCTTCTCTTTGCCATATACACCACCTCACTGGGTGAGATCATTGGATCACATGGCTTCTCCTACCACTGCTATGCAGACGACACCCAGCTCTATCTGTCCTTTCCACCGGACGACCACACTGTCTCTGCACGAATATCTAACCGTCTCTCTGACATGTCAAAATGGATGAAATCCCACCATCTCCAACTCAACCTCTCTAAAACTGAACTACTTTTCATCCCAGCAAAACCATCCATACTGCACAATATCTCAATCTAAAATGACTTCCTATCTCTGGCTCCTTCAAAGGCAGTTCAAAATCTGGGTGTTGTGATTGATGAACACCTGACCTTTAAAGATCATGTTACCTCTGTTGCTCGTTCATGCCGCTTTGCGCTGTATAACATACGACAGATCAGACCATACCTAGCACAACACACCACCCAGCTCCTGCTGCAATCTATCGTCATCTCCCGCCTCGACTACTGCAATGCCCTTCTAACTGGTCTTCCAGGCTGTACTGTGAGACCTCTTCAAATGGTCCAGAATGCAGTGGCGTGTCTGGTCGTCAATCAGCCAAAAAGAGCACACGTCACCCCTCTGTTCATTGAGCTCCACTGGTTACCGCTAGCAGCACGCATCAAATTCAAATTGCTAACACTAGCATACAAAGTCCGAGATGGTACGGCTCCCATCTACCCGAATCCTCTTGCAAAGACTTACGTCCTGGCCCGGCCGCTCCGGTCATCACCAGATCATCGGCTATCAGTGCCTACACCACGCTCAGAACAATCCAGGCTCTTCTTATGCATCGTTCCACATATGTGGAATGACCTACCAAGCGCTACAAGAACAGGGGCTTCCTTTTCAATTTTCAAGAAACTCCTGAAGACCCTGCTCTTCAGAGAGCATCTTCTAAACTAGCACCCTCCCTGCACCCGTCCCCCCTCTCTACTGTCCACTCCTTGTTCCCTCCTCTCCATGATTGATGTCAAGTTGTTGTTGTTATTGTTGTTGTTAGCCTCAAGGGCAACATGCCGATAATCACTTGTAAGTCGCTTTGGACAAAAGCTTCTGCTAAATACATAAACATAAACATCTAATTGGTCCAGAATAATGGTGAAAATCAAGATGCTCAGGCCATTAGGACCAATTACTGCATGAGATAGATAAGCTAGGCTTTGTTACATCTCATTATCAAACCAAAGTTTAAAGTCAGCTAGAGTGAGGTTTATAACCTTAAAACAAACATTTATGTGTTTATATTTAAATATCTGGCCAGAATATTCTCTTTGTTAGTGATTTACTTCCACATTAGTTTGTAGTTTCTGTCTTCATCACTTCCTCCTCCTCACCTTTACTCACCGCTCTGAGTGGACTCTCTGTACTAAATACCTTCACACAAGAAGTGAAACTGCTGACTAATACATCTTTCTCATTCTGCTCGTTTGACGCTGTCGGTGTCTGGCTTTGTCCTGGAATTATAACCATATCCTTTTGGTTTGGGTGTCGTAGGTCCAGATGTGTTTCAGATCTCTGTGGATGAGAGAGCCAAACATGATCAGCAGTTTCACAGCCTGTCTCCGACCGCTGGAGGTTACATAACAGGTAACAGACACTCTTTATTCGGTTACTCTTCCAACAATAACCTGAGAACAGCACCCCCCAACAGCCTCTGGTCACATAACTTTAGCTGAAGTCCAAAAGGTTTTGATGTTCTAACAGAACCACATCATTTATAGATGGATAGATAAATATCATTGCACAATTAATTTTGATTTTACAGGTTTTTTTCTTCTATAAATAAGGGCTGCAGCCATCGGTTATTTTAATAATCGATTAGCCTGCCACAGTAATTGGTCGATTAATCGAATAATTGGATAAGCCTTTATTTGTTTGCTTTGGAAATGTGGTAGAATTGTAACAGTGCAGTACTAGTTAATGACTATTATATTACCATTATATTTCTATAACAACATTTACTGAATTACACTTCATTAAAGTGTCAATGAAGGGGCCGTTTTGGTCTGAATTTTATGAAGCCAAGAAGGAGAGGCTAAAATTGCAGTTCCACCCTCTTCCACTTGGGGTTGGCAGCAGAAAAGAGAAAATCCTCATTGACTCCCATGTTAAAATGCCTATTTCACAGCAAAAATAAACATGTTTACAGCCTGGTGCAAAAAACTTTTAAGTTTAATAGATCTAGTTTACACTCATGACAACTCTGAGGGGGGTGAGTGTTTTTGTAACTCATCTGTTTAAGTGTAATTACATGCTTATAAATCTGAATAATGAATGAGCCACGTCAGCTTTGGGCAAGGCCTCACGTTAATAGATGTTCGGCCATTTCCCGTCTGTGAACTTTAGGTGTGTCCTCTGTGTGTTTGTGTTTGGATGTTAGTCATAGAATTATTTGAACACAAGTCCACAAGCTGTGGTTATTGACTGCGCTAACAGGCCATCCAAGCAGTTTCTGCTTATTTTTTATCAGCAAATAAAATTATATTTCTGTATTTTATCTCGCTGGATGAATGGAGGGAAATGCTGCTTGCTCAAAGATGGGTTGAAATATAACGTGTTGGTGGGTCTGGCTGACTGGGTCCAGAAACTCAAGCTGACTGAGGCTAGCTAGCAGAGACTTTGGGGCTTTGCCGCTAATCTGCAGTCAAAGATTTGTGAGGTCTTCGCTGCAGAGAGGTTTGGCGAGTTTTGATAACGTGCCTCTCCCTTTAACAGTGGCAGTCCTGCGATCAGAGATCTGTGAATCTGCCACTTCAACATTGAGGAGTAAGCCCAGCAAACAGGATGCCCTGCTTCTCCTTCGCTTGGCCAGGAACAGCTGCTTCACGCAGGCTGCCCCAAGCCGCCATCTCCCAAAGGGGCCGAGACACGCAACCCGTCCGCCTGGCTTTCATGCTAGGTTTTAGTTTTGCTGCATGCCTGTGGAGCTTTCTGAGGGAGATTGCAGGAGCACTGTTTCTCTTTGAGTTGATTTTGGAGTTGCTTTACCACATTTCTCTTGCTAAAAATGCCCGAAAAACTTCAGTTAGCTTGAGTTAGTATGTTGCTCCACTGATCTCCGACCCGCTCTGACCGAGGCAGAGCATGACCAGGGCCAGGGTGCCCATCTCCGATCGCAGCGACCTGAGGCTCTGCTTGTATTTTAACAGTCCATATTATTGCTCCACAGGCGACCAGCATGACTACAGCCTACGGAAGCCAAGCAGTCGTGCAGCTCAGCTATTTCTGACTCTGATCGTCTCACATTTTGTTTGTTTTATTTTTTAGGTGACCAGGCCAGGAACTTTTTCCTTCTGTCAGGGCTGCCCCCACCCATTCTCGCCCAAATATGGTCAGGCACACTCCCAGGAAGTATATGCATACACATTTAAGATGGTCTAAGACTACGCTGTGTGTGTGTGTGTGTGTGTGTGTGTGTGTGTGTGTGTGTGTGTGTGTGTGTGTGTGTGTGTGTGTGTGTGTGTGTGTGTGTGTGTGTGTGTAAAGTGAAGACAACTGATCAGAAACTAAAGTGTATATATACATATACATACATATAATTCAGATGAACATTCTTTTAAATACGTGTATTTTCGATGAATCTCTGTCTTCAGGGCTCTGGCTGATATGAATGGTGACGGTCGTATGGACATACACGAGTTCTCCATCGCCATGAAACTCATCAAGCTGAAACTTCAAGGTCACCCTCTGCCTTTTTCACTTCCCCCCAGTTTGAAACAACTTCCACCACCTTTAGCGCCCCAGACCAGCTTTGGTAAGACTTAGCAGTGTCCTGTGTGTTGCTGTCCACCTGATGTCCCACTGAGACTGTGATTATTAGTGCACTGAGACTGTGGAACTCATGGGACGAGCTACTGTTGTAACATCTAGAGGCTTTTGGGTGTTGTTTTTAAAAGGTCACTGTGTTTAACCTTTTAAGCACCAAAGTTGCAATATTGTGACAAATGTCATTACTGACTTTACCGAGCCACATCTACAAATATTATCCCTCATGAAGTTACTACTTTACACCACTTTACACCAGAAGACAGTGGAGATGTGTAATTTCAGGCTGAGCCACAATTATGGGTGTGTTTATATTAAGGAGTTTTTAGCATTTGAAAACTGCCTCCTGCCGAGAGGGTCCCGGATGGTGACGAGAACAGGAGACGAGCGCAGCACGAAGAGGGTGAATATTAGAGGGATAAAACTTACAATTGCCGGCAGGTGTGGTCCTTGTTGACGGATCTCTTTGTCTGGTCATGACTGATTCTGATTAGGAAGCAGAATATTTACTCTCTGATGAAGAAATTCACTCATCCAGCCGGAAAGATTGACGCTGCTGCAGCGTGCAGCATCAGACAGCGGGTGCCCAAAGAAACCTGACAAACATGACAAAAAAGCATTTCTCTTGAAAATACAATATAAGATTAAAAAATGAAATAAAAATTTCAAAAGAGCTTTATTTATGTATATAAATAAAATTTTTCTAAATAGCATGAAAAAATAAGGATAAAGCAAAGCCCTCGATTTACTGGTCAATATACGTTCCTACCCTCATCCATGGTCACAAGCTTTGGGTTGAGACCGAAAAAACTAGATCATGGATACAAGTGGCTGAAATTAGTTTTCTCCCCAGGGTGGCTGGTAGGGATGTAGGAAAATATCAATATGGCAATATATCGCAGTATTTTCCCTGTGATATTATATCGATATTCAAAAGCTGTGTATTGAATTTTTGGAAGAATTTTCATTCAAACATTTGTGTGTTTTCTTATCTTTTGTTGCAATTCAAACGCCGACCGCTAATAAGCAGCCGTGTGCACTGAGCTTTGTTTCCACCACTGAAATGTAAATCCCTCTATTACGCTTCAGACACCTCTTGTTAAACATGCTACTTATCAGTTTGGACGGTTTATTGAATTTTACTACAATAATTTCAGTCTAAAAAAAACGCAAATATCATCTGGCTGAATGTATCGCAATATATTGTGATATGTCGTATCGTCTTCCCGTGTTGTGATACGTATCATATCGCCAGAATTTCACCATTTCACATTCCTAGTGGTTGGGCGTAGGAATGAGGTAGTCTTTGAAGAGGTAGTCCTTCAAGACTGTTGGAAAACCATTTCAGGTGACTACCTCTTGAAGCTCATCAAGAGAACGCCAAGAATGTGCAAAGCAGTAATCAGAGCAAAGGGTGGCTATTTTGAAGAAAATAGAATATAAAACATGTTTTTAGTTATTTCACCTTTTTTGGTTAAGTGCATAACTCCACATGTGGTCATTCATAGTTTTGATGCCTTCAGTTAGAATCTCCAAATGTAACTGGTCGTCAAAGAAAACACATTGAATGAGAAGATGTGTTCAAACCTTTGGCCTGTACTGCATATTTCTAAAAAGTGATTCCTCCACGGGGCGTTCAGAGGTGTGCAGAGTTAATGTACAGTTTCTCCTATAAAAGCTATATTTAAAAACAATAATCAAATTTTTATTTTGACGTTCACGACATTGGGTTTATGTTTACATCTACCAGCCAATAGAGGGCACTGTTGCAGTAAAAAGTCAGCTTGGCAGGGCGTGGCTGGGACTGTGGAAAATGGTCGACTTGTTAAGTCAAGCTGCTGATTCTGAGCCCAGAAGATGTTCTAACGGTGAATACTGTTGTAAAATAAACGTAGTAGTAGAAATTACTCCTTACCCTAAACAATTTGACATGGCTGGTCACTTCACGTGTCTGTAGTGAACCTACTCCCTGATGGCTGGAAAATGTGGTCTGTTGTTGCACTACCATCTCTAAACACATGTTGCCATAGTGTCCGTGTTCCACATTCAACCTTTAACTGGAATAAATGTGTAACTTCTGCTCGTAACATTTATTTAGAACAGAAATGACATAAGATCTTGTTTGCTTCTGTTTTGCTCCAGGAATGCCTTCTTTGCCACCTATGGCCCCCATACCAGCTCCCATCTCAGCTCCCCTGCCGGTTGTGCCCCCCCTCCCCCTGCCCCCCATTCCGGTTGGAGTGTCTCCCCCTCTCGTCTCATCTGTACCTCCTCCCCTTCCTCAGCCTGTTGTCAATGGAGCTCCTCCCTCCGCCATGATACCGCCCATCTCGGGCTTCCCTCACCCAGGTAGTCTGAACGTTTCTCTTCCTTCTGCTCTCTAAGCTTTTGTTTACATAACAGTCAGAGGATTCTACGTTCATCCTTGTGAGGGGTCAAAGACTTTGAAGGCAGTGTTATTTTTAAATATGTGGAAAATGTACAAAAATTCTTACTTTTGTTAAACATGAATATTTGTCATCAGTCTGAAAAGTTCTCTTCTGCTCTCTCAGCTGCTCCCGTGAACAAAACCTCTTCATTTAATCGTTCCAGCACCAAGCCGCAGAAAGGCTCGTCGTTTGATGCTGCCGGGTAGGTCTGATGTTTATCTAACTAATCAGATGATGTGGCAGATATATTTCAATCAAGGAGGAGACTGTGTGTGTGCCTTCAGTGACCCCAGTAGGGGTTTTCCTGTATTAAAGAGCAGGTTCACAGAGAAACCGTTGTTTTTGAAAATGATCAGCCACTCTGAATTTAACATGCAGGCTGAGCATGAAAATAGTCTCCTCCACCTATCTCCTGCATTAGCTTCTGGTAGAAAACAGATGGTAAAACTCTAGTATTTGAAAAGCCTGACAGACTTCACACTGTCACTAACATTCATGCACTCAATGATCATGGCTCACGATGGGGAATGTTGTGTAGCAAACGGCAGAGAACATCTTGACTAGTAGACGCTAACCGTTAGCATTAGCAACTCCACCACACGACATAACTCCTCTTGGCTTGTGTTATCTCTGGAGAAAATCATCAGTGTTGCAGCACAAACAGAGTCCGTGGTAGAGTTGCATTGCAGTTATCCAATTTGAGAGGAGATGTATAAATATCAGAAAATAAGACTACCAATCCAGCAATGTTCTGTCACTCTTTCCTCCAGCTATCAAAATAAATCACGGCAAGATTCCCATCAGAGCATCTGAGCTCTATCTCACGCTTTCTTACACATTCTCCAAAACTTGCTGTTGACAGCGCACAGAAGAGGAGCTTGGAACTAGTCTGTGACAGACCTGTGCGCGGTGTTGACTGCTTCCAGATCTGGAAAGTGGCAACCCTTCTTTCAGCGAGTCTTGCCAACCTCTGGCTATTTCCTTTAGAGAGATGTTCCTTGGTTTTAAAACTTTGGTGGAAGTAGCACTCGTTATTCTGCCTCCAGTACGGCAGCGGTGCACAGATTCAGCATCTAGAACATTTAAATGTCCATGAGTCTGTCTGAGGCCTCCGCAGTCCAGAACCTCATATAACCTATAACTTCTTCAGCAAGCCCCCTAGAGACATTGGATGACGCACAAGCAGGTGACCAGTTCAGGTTTATGTGGAGCAGAAGGAAAGTGCGTTTGGGCCACGGCAGGTGAAATGTTCCTAACTTGGTCTCTTTCTGGAGTAGTTCTCTCACCTGATGGCACCATCTAGTGGCTGACAAGCATATCACACAAATAGTTTCTCCTTCAGTTTTTTTTAAGATGGCGCCTTCACGTTTCTTTTTTAAAGATGTGCTTCTGTATCCGACAAACAGAGCTAAAACACGTTCTTTTACAAGTATTATTCTCATGTTCTCATATATTTATATTTTAAACACTTTATATGTCACTCGACCTAACAACAAAGACAAAATTCAACAAAAAGTAAGAAAAACCAAAATACCTCTGCCTCCAAACATATGCACTTTGCTTCCATTGGAAATTCCATGGTTGGACTTCTGTGTTTGCAAATCAGTCTCTAGTAGGAATTTAGTGCCGCGTTTAATTTGGTGTCTCCATCCTTCGGTGTTATGTGTTGACCCTAACCCCTACTTCACCCTGGAAGCATCGGTGGCGCAGAGCAGCAAAATGTCACTGCTTCAAATTAGAATCCGTTATAGGCTTTGGGGGTGATTCAAACCACCTGCAACGTGGACATGCTTAGGCACGTCCCAGAAGCAGTACACCGCACCGCTGAAGACCAGACCAGGTTCTATTTTTGCCACAATCTTCTTCTGGGACACGTGATTTAACATAGAGCTAGACAGAAAATCAGGTACAGTTTTAGTGTAAAACCGCTGGTAATGTTCAAGATAAAAGACTATTGAAGCAATGTAGTTTCATTTCTACGTAGATTATGTCAGTACAAGTGACCCAACGGCTTCTTTGCTCCCAGCGTCATTCCAGAAGTGCAGCAGTGTGTTTTTCATGGCTTTAATCCTGGCAGTGGAGAGGAACAACACCATATGTGACATCAAACAGCGATATCAAATGTGATTTCCTTCATTTTGGTTTAATGACGGATGGCATAGACTAAAAGGAAGCCGTTAAGCGGCCAAGACTCCCCAATGTGTACTGGATCGCAGCAAAAGTCGCGAGCAAACCTTTCTGCCGCCGTTCCACTCCACTGATGCTTCCAGTGTGAAGTAGGGGTCCACCCTGATGGATGGATGGTTTTTTTAAGCAGGATCTCTGATAAGCATCAATTAATATCTTGTGGAGTTCAAAACCTTTATCAGAACAGCAGTGGCTCAGGAAGTAGCGCGTGTTGTCCAGTAATCAGAGGGTTGTAGGATCAATCCTGGCGGAGAATGCAGCTGTTGTGTCCTTGGGCAATACACTTAATGCACCCTGCCTGCTGTTGGTTGTCGGAGGGACTGGTGACGCCTGTGCTCATCAGCCTCACCTCTGTAAGCACGCCCCAGGGCCGCTGTAGCTACACTACAGCTCATCACCACCAGCGTGTGAATGATACTCTGTAGTGTAAAGTGCTTTGGTGTCCTCTGACTCTGAAAAGCTCTATGCATACATACATAATATATAACACATATGCTACGCTACATATACTTTATACG